TTACTGCTTAACATTTCACAGTGTTCCTGCTTGGAGTGATGAGAAAGTTCTGGAAACATCTGATAGCAGTGATGGCTGCACCACACTGTGCAGAGACCTTCCGCAGGCACGGGCTGCCTGCCCCACCTGCTCTCCTGTGCCAGCTGGCCAGCCCAGCACTGATGGCCTCACTCAGCTGGCCACCAGGGCTGCCTCCCACACCTGGAGCCCCCAGAGCAGCTCCTGCCTCCGCCTGGCTCTGGTGGCGCTGCGGCACTGTCCTCAGCCTCTCATTCTGCAGAGTCCTGTGAGGAGCCGCGAGGACAATACCTCTGGGTCCCGCCCCGCCCCAGGCTCAGCTGGCTGTGGGGGGCATTGGTGCAGGCTTCAGCTTCACTGTGTGACCACAGGCCCCCAGGGCACTGGGGTGCTGGGAGCCTTTCTGTCTAAAGCTCTGCTTGGGAGTCAGCTGCCCCATGGGGGGCTCCACTGCCATGCCTGGCAGGCTCCTGCCTGTTGGAGGGGTGCAGTGGCAGGCATGCCCAGGGAGGCGCCCCCGCCAGCACAGCTGTTGCCCTGCCTCTCCTCTGCGGGCATGTGTGAGGGAGCCAGGGACCCCAGGCCCAGAACTCAGAGCTCCTCAACTTTCCATCCTGTCAGAAGCCTGGACCATGGCAGAAGACCTGAGACCAGGTTTCCTGATCAAAGCTCCCTTCTGTCCTTGTCTTCTCTGGGATCTCAGCCTCTGGACTGCTTTTCTAGAATCAACCAAAATATGCCCTTTGTCCTCTTGGTTAGAAATGGCACCTGACCCTCTCCCCTGCCCTCCATTCCTGAGTTCTCATCCTGCAACTTCAGGCCAGTGTGGTAAGTGGCCTCTGAAAGGTCCAGTATCGGGCAGCTGTGGTCTAGGAGCCTCGGTGTCCATCGATGGTAAGCATTCTCTGTGCCCCCTCTTCCCTGGGCCCCTCTGGGGGCTGGGTGTGCCCCAAACACTGCCTCCTCAAACCTCCACCCGGGCAGCCTGGCTGAACTGGGCTGAGAACCTGGGCTTCTTGTGACCCAGCTGCTGTAATGACCCACGATGAACATGAGCAGCCTAGAGCCGTGGCTGACCCAAGTGGGGCCTGCAGCCCAGGGCTGAGCTAGGCCACAGCGTGGTTCCCCCCCAGTGCCCTTGGGAGCAGAGGTGAGTGTCCCCCAAGCCCGTGAGCTGGAGCTGGACCCTGATGCCCCTGCCTCTCTGCCAGCTCCCAGCTCCTCTGGCTTTGGGGCAGGACTGGGTACGCAGCTGACTGTGTCTCCAGAGGCCCAGGGGCGTGGAACGATGGATGGCACCACTGCATCAGAACAGCAGGTACTCTGAGTGGCCCTTGGAGGAGCTGCCATGGCTATGGAAAAAAAATCCATGCCACTGAGTTGTCCACTAAAGACGGTGAAGATCGTAAATTTTGTTATATACATATTGCACCAAAAAAAATTTTTTTGGTGGTCTTAGAGATTGAACCCAGGGCCTCCCACATGCTAGGCAAGTGCTCTACCGCTGAGCTGCACCCCAGACTTTTTAAAAATTCATTTTGAGGCAGGGTCTTGCCAAGTCCCTGAGAGGCTGGCTTTGAACTTTTGATCTTCCTTTCTCAACCTTCTGAGTAGCTAGGATTACAGGTGTGAGCCACCACACGGGCTGTAGCACAGTTTTTAAAAAGTCAACAATGTTGCTAAATGCCATGGGGCAAGCCTGCAATCCCAGGAGGCTGAGGCAGAAGGATCGCAAGTTCAGACCCAGCCTCAGCAACTCAGTGAGACCCTAATAAAATATAAAAAAGGACTGGGGACACGGCTTGGTGGTTAAGCATCCCTGGGTTCAATCTCTAGTCAAAAAAAAAAAAACAAGTTAACGGTGTGGGGGCCTGCAGTCCAGCTCCACATTCGAGTGCTGCCTGCTGTGTCTGAGCCCTGGGCTCAGTCCTGAGCACTGTATATAGAAGCAGTAAGGAACACAGAACCCACCGAAACGGGTTTCTACACTTAAATGTGTGAATTACATGGTATGTAAATTCTGTCTCAAAAAAAAAGGACTTTATTATTCTTTTAGGGTCACCACAATCAGGGAGAAGTAGTTTGGGGAGAAGAGGAGCACTGAGTATGATCCCCGCTGACTTGCCAATTAACAACTAACTAACCCCAGTGAGCATGCAGGGGTGTGGCCCCTTTACCACAATGGCCTTCTAATTTACAAAAAGGAAACAGCCCTGGAGGGTGGCAGGACCTGTCACCACACTGCCTTGCTTGCCATGGCCAGTGAAGCCAGCAGAAGCAGAGGCAGAGGCTCTCGGAGAGCGTGGGTGGGGCAGGCCCTGCACAGACCTACAGCCTGCAAGCCAAGAATACCACGCCAGGTCGACACCACGCCAGGTCTACGCCCCACAGAAAAAATAAGGATTTTTGACTGAACAAAGGACACCTGGCGAGGGTGATGTGTGGTGATGGGACCACTGCATCAGAACAGCAGGTACTCTGAGTGGCCCTTGGAGGAGCTGATGTGACCTCTGCTTAGAGCAGAAGGGTAAGGGCGGGGTTCCAGGAGCACCAGAGTGGGCAGACTACGGGAGCTGAAGCCCAGCACTTGCCAGGCCATGGAGGTAGGTCTGGCCACTGGCAGGCATGGCGAAGCAGGCTGAGCAGAACACACACACACCCTGAGAAGGACAGCTGCCCACACGCATCCCCAGCTCTGCGCACGGGCTGGCGACAGGGCGCTCTGCCACATCCAACACCTGAACGCCCATTTTAAACAAGCCCCAAAGGAACCAAGACTCTTGGGCAAGTGGCCATTCCAGAGCTGGAGCTTTCTGGGAGACCAGAGATGAGGGAAGAGCTCTAGACACTCCGGGGCTGCACGTGGGACAGGAGCCAGCAGCAAAGGCCTCGGGCAGCCAAACGGGAGCAACGGGAGCGATAAGTTAAAAGTGCATGCAGACACACAGAAGAATGGAGAGGCAGACAAGGGTGCTCTTCCACGCAGGGCACCGGCTCACAGTGTTTGTGGGAGGAAAGATGGAAAATGAATTCAGCGACCGGAAACATCAAGGGCTTCAAGATTCCCACATAATGTGCAAAACCAGGAGGAGACAGGCAGAGGGCCTCCTGGCCTCATATCTATCCAGCAGTCAAGGCTAGCCCCTGTGACTACTGCCAGGAGGCAAAGGGAACACAGCCCACACCTGCCACTCCCTGCTCTAGGCAGAGGTCATGTCAGACCCCCAGGGTGAGAGGCATGCAAGACAACTGGCCTGCATGACCAATCTGTCCTAAAGTCCAGGAGGGTGGGGACAGCTGGCCTGGGGCTGTCTGTCTGGAGGAAACTGACTTCTGAGCCTGGCCATGAGAAAGGGAAGGAGCATAGATTTACTCCCAGCCTGAATTATTCAGGAGAGAAGGGAGTGCACCTCTTTAACAAGCATGGCTTCATGAAGCAAGGTTAACAATTCCACTTGATTCAGTGGAATATCGCAAGCTCTCTGGGGCCCACTGAGGACTCGCACTCCCGGCGCAAGGTGACGACTCAGCATTTTTCCTATTATTTAGAGAATAAAATTAACCCTTCGAGGTCCAGGCTGCTGCCTCCCTGCTGCTGGATCTGGCCTGCTCAGCGCTTTCCCCTATGTAATCACAAGCTGCTATCCATCATGTGGCAGGACGCAGCCTGACGCGCAGAAACGTACACAGTAAGCACTTCCACTAATAGAAGCAGAACTTAAATATCGCTTTGATACTTTCATTTAAATTGGAATATTTTACAATAATTGTCTGTTGCCTCCATGGGTCCTGCCCCCCTACCTGGACCAGGGCCTGGAGGGTTTCCCTGCCCAGTGCCCAGGTGCCCATCAAGGTGACCCCCAGCTCCACGTTAGGGCCCATGTTGTGAGCAGGCAGTGCAGCAGCAGGAGTCGGGGCTGGCTCCAGGGACCCACTGTCTCAGGTCTTCCCTGGAAGCGGATGTCAGACCTCTAGGGAGGCAGGGCAGGTGTTGGCGAGCTCCTATGTGGGTCCTCTCAAGTGCAGCCAGTGAGGGAGGTGCTCCTGTGCGTGCCACCTGGGCCTTTCCAGCTCTTGGGGGGGGGGCGTGGCCCAGCACTCACACAACCCTGGTGCTTGGTGACCTCACCTTCATTGGGGGTCCTCCCTCCAATCTGCAGGCCCACCACAGGACCATGTTCCCAGGCTTTGCAGCTAGAAGGGGCAGGAGTGGGCCTTGCCATAAGGCCCCTGGGTTGTGCAACACAGATGCTCTCAGGGTGCCAGGGACTGAAGAATTCTCTCTATGGCCCCTGGCCCAGGTCTTGTGGGAGGCTGGGGAAAAGGGTCCCACTGGGTCAGGCCTGCAGGGTCCTCTGGCCAGCCCCCTGAATCAGGAAGGATCCTAGTGAATGAGGGGAAGGCCCCGCTTGCTCGGCCAAGGAAGTTCCCCACTGGTGCTCAGCCACAGGCGAGACTGAGCTGCCCTGGCAGCCAGACAGGCAACTGTGAGGGGCTGGGACAAGGCAAGCCAGTCCCCTGAGAGCAGTTCACTAACTGCCCACCTGGCACTGCCCACCTACTTCCAGTAGGTCCAGCCTCAGCTCACCCTAGGCTCACCTGCCCCTCTGGACAACCCCTCGGCTCTGCCCAGCCCTTCCATCCCAGGCAATGTGGGTGTGGGCTACCAACACCTGCCACCCTAAGATGGCCACGGCTCCATACCTACCCACAGCTCTTCCAACCCTGACCTTCACCCCCCTTCACCCCACAGCAGTCTCTCAGGGGTTTTGCCTCCCCAGCCATTGCATCCCTGGCCCACCATGCAGTGGGGTGAACCCACTGTACACCCTGCTGCCCTGGGGGACCTGGGTACTCTGGCCTCACTTTCCCTCGGCTCACACTGCACAAGCCCCTGGCAAGTCACTGGGCCAGAGTTGCCTGTGAGGGAGACGTAAGGTCAGGGCTGTGGGAGGCTGCCCATGCCTGCCTGCGGGCCTCACCTTGGCACCCAGCGGGCAGTAACCTTTGAGGAAGTCGCTGCAGACCTCGGCCTTCCGAGACACGTAAACGTGGCTATAGGGGCAGTCACTGTTGCTGCAGATCCCCTTCAGAAAGTAGGAGCACACAGGCATCTGCGGGAGGGAGGGCAGACGGTGAGGGCCAGCGACCCACGCCCTAGCAACCACAGCCGCTCTACAGGCAGCAGCACAAGGACGCAGAGGCCCTGTCCAGGGTCCCACTGTGGCCCCCACAGGGGTGAAGTGGATGCATCCTGCTGGGCAAGGGAGCTGCTTGCTCACAGTCAGACCCCCCTTCCTAGGTGACCCAGAAGCACATCTACCCTCACTCTGTCAGCCTGAGGGGTCTTGGGGCAGGTATACTATCCCCCAAATCCCTCAATGTCCAGGGCAAGATGGCAGTCTGGACTTCCAGCCACTAACCATGGCCCAGATGCCCGGGAGTCACAGCCCACGGGGCCAGTGTTCACACAGGAGAGCCTTAGGGCCAGGCATCAAGCTGGAGATTCTCTAGCCACCTGACATGTATCTTGGAGCAGGCTTGGTCTGGCCCTGACCACAGGGTGGCACTGAAGCCTGGCAACAGGAGGGGCTCAGGGGAGATCTGAGGGCCCAGTATAGGCAGCAGGGATGACCCTGGCAGGCTGCACAGAGGTTCATGAGCCCAGCCTGACTTTCCCTCTTCCTTCCCCAGCACAGAGCCGCAGCCCCACTGACCTCTGGCCGGGGCTGCTGCTTGTTATCACCATCTGGGTTGGGAGAGGTAAGAAATGCAGTCCACCCCTCTCCCAGGGGGCAAAACTGAGGCCTTCGTGAACAGGAGCTGGGTGGGGTCACCCAGGGAAGGAAGCAGGGCATGTTTCTAAAACTTCCGGGAGACTCCCTGCTCCCCTTGTGGGCCAGACACCAGCTCCTTCCTGGGACATCTGGGGGAGTGCAGTGGTGTCACTTGCCCTGGTCCAGTATGGAGCCCACCAGAAGGCCTCAGCAGGACTTCCCTGGGACCCCCTCCTGAGGCCCTTGGGTCAGACCCCCCACTCTCACCCCCAGGGAAGTCACCTCCTTGCCCACACTGAGAGTCCTGGCTTGCCCAAGTTGCTCAGCACTGAGGCCAGCGGTGGGCTCGGGGAGCCCTCCATGGTTCTGGGGCACCCAGAAGCTGTAAAATGTCACTTTTCTAGGGTGAAATATAAGGTAGGGGCAGGAACCTGTCTGAGGGCCAAGAAGGGAAGAAAAGGCCTGGGCAGCAGCCCTGGAGCTAAGGGGGAAGGAGGGAGAAATCAAAGAAACAAAGGGTGATTTACTGAGCAAGAGTTTATTTTTAATTGTCTTTTAACTGCAGCCGCAGAGGGGAGAGGGGCTGGGGGCCCTGTTTGGGGCTGGTGGTGGTGCGGCTGCAGACAATTCCCTTAATGTGGTTTTTGATATAGAGCCCAAATTAGCTCTAATAAAAAGGGATAATAAAGCCAACTCTTACACCAAACGGAGCTCCTCCTGGCTGTCAGAGCGGGGCCGTTACCAAGAGGAAACTGCGTTCTCATTTCAATTAACCTTGTTTGCACCCTACCACGTCCACACAAATAACAATAACATTAATTCAGGGCGCTGGTGCGGGCCCACACATTAGACAGTGTGGAGTGTGCACCGGCTTTGGAGCTGGCGCTTAATGAACCCGAAACTCGACGTGAATTTCCAAATTGCTCACGACAGAGTTTCGAAGCGCGATTAGGGAGAAAAATGCTGATTCTCTCCAAGCTCCTCAAGGGGAAAAGCTGTCGGAGCAGCAGTGGGCCTTGCCCACACGCCTCCTTCAGCTGCAGCCCCACACCCAGCCCTTCCCCACACCCATGGCCAGGCTGGGTTCCCAGGGCCTGTGGGCAGGCCTCGGCATGGGGCAAGGCCCCCTGGCCTCCTGCCCCAGGCTCTGGGAGCTTTAGCCAGCATGAATCACAGACCTCAGCACTCTCAATCCTCCAGGTAGGGGACCCTCCCTGGCTTGAATAAGTCTATGGAGTCATGCAGGCCAGAACACCCGAACCCTTCCAGCCGTGGCCGCCCTATAGGTGGTCCCTTCCCAGTTCCCTGTGGCGGCTCTCCTGTCCCGTCCCCACCTCTGCCTAGGGGAACCTGCAGCCTCCAGGAGAACTCTCAAAATGCCCACTACTAGCCAAATCCAGGCCTGAGGAGGCAGGTGAGGTCTTGGTCCTGTACTCCAGGGGCACGCACAGGGCCACCTTCTCCTGTGCATGAGGCGGTGATGGAGAGAAGCCTGGCATCACTGGGGGGCCTACACATCTGGCAAGGCTGGGTGCTGGAGGGACAGGGAAGACCGACCCCTATGTGTGGTGCGTGGGACCCCCCCAAAGTCCCCAGTTAGCTACTTCAGCTAAAAGGCAGCCATGGCACCGCCCACACGTGGGGATGAAAGGCCCACAGGGGCAGGGCTGCTGGCCAAAGCTCAGGGGACAAGCAATAGCACTTACCTTCTCTTTGGACACATGGTGGGAAAAGGGACAGGTCCCATCTGTCTTCTTGCAGGTTCCCCGGACAAACCTGTGGTAGCACAGGACAGGGGAGTTGGAGAAGGCTGCCAGGGATGGAGGCAAGACCCCACACAGACTCCCTCACCCGGGGCGAAGCCAGCTGGGCACCTGGTGCACACGGCCACCTTCTCAGGGTCGTGGATGTAGGGGCAGCGCTCGCCATGGTTGCACCTGCCAAAACGGTTGTAGTACATGCAGTACTCCTTCCTCTTCTCTCTCTTCTGCCTCGCCTGGCGGATGATGGCCAAGCTGCGCTGGATCGCTCGGCTGTGGACAGCGAGAGGTTCATGAGCCCAAGGATGAGCAGTGAGCCCCACCTGCCCAGCCCCCGAGGGACGCACCTGGCATGGGAGCGGCTACAGCTGCTGGTAGGATCCATTCGGCCTGTAGCAGGGAGAGGAGAGGGTCCTATCAGGCCGCAGCCCAGCCCATCCTCTTTCCACAGTTCCACCTGGCCAATGCCCCCTCAGGGTCCTCAGCCCTGGGCTCCAGCATGGCTGCCTCCTGCAGAAGGCTGCCCACAGCCCCGCCCTCTAGGGACACAGCGTCATGGTTGGGGCCAGGCAGGGCTCCTGTTGGTGCCCTCAGAGCTGGCATGCCAGGCAGCCCCCTACAGGGGACTGGACTGCTCAGGGATAAGTGAGTGGCCTGCAGCCAGCTGGGTTTCCCAAGCCACATCTGAGGCTGGATGGGCTATCCCACCAGCTGGTTTCCGGCCACCTACAAGCCCACCCTGGCAGCCAGGCGTCTCATGGGGCAGGTCCTCAGGCCGAGGCCCTTTCCAGGCTTTGACACTGGTGGGGGTACCGCCTCCTGCCAGAGCCCCAGAGTAGGACCGGGAGGGGTTTGCTTAGACAAGGCAGTGAATGTGGACCACATGTGGCCTGGCTTTGGAAATGCAGATGGTTTGGTAGGAGCCTCACACTCAGGGGTCTGGCCCAGGTGCAAGTGTGGCTTATCACTTGCAATTTTGGAGGTACCTTTCCAGATAGTCCCTAAAATCCCAAGCATGAAGATGAGACTGAAGATCAGATCGGCTTAGCTTTTCTGAGATCATTAATATGGTGTGAGGATAGCAGTGACATGAATTGGGGTCCCCTTAGAATTAAAGGGACCGACGTGGGGGACAGCGGTCAGTGAGGAAGGGGGCCTGCAAAAGGAGGGGCCTGCCTTTTAAAGGCACAGGCCAGTCCCAGGATTGCGGGGAGGCCCAGGCAGGGCAGGGCCTACTCAGACTGTTTCCCTGGGTTCCTCAAATACGCACATGACCCTTCCCAGACCAGATCCCATTTCCTACAGGGCAGCTGCTGAAATGAATACGGTGCTAAGAGGCAGAAGTGACATCATGCAGAAATTCTGAGGGCCTGAGGTGATGACAAAACCATCTGGGGTTTTTAAAAGGGATGTTCCAGGGTGCCTAGACTCACTCAGCTAGTCCCTGCTCTCACGGCAGACTGCCAGTGCAGGTCTGGGGGACGATGCTTCAGAGCTCCCCTCCCCCAGGGCATCTGTGAGCCCATCTCCAGTGTGGCCCCTCTCTCCAGGTTCTGGCATGACCCATGGCCTCTCCAAACCTCAACTCCTTCACACCCCACTGGCTGGACCTCAGACCCTCCTTCCTTGGCATCCAGGAGTTAGTGGCTCAGCCCTTGGAGTTCCCTGGGCCATGTTGGGTGGTGCTGTCACACCCTGGCCCTCCAGAGACAACGGGAGCAAGTCAAGCACAGACTGTGCCCACCAGGCGAAGGCTGCCTGCTGCTCTGAGTTGCAGAGACCCTGAGGGAAGACTTGGCACTGCACTGCCGGAGCTCTGTGGCCCTCAGACCAGTGGGTCTCCTACCCTCAGCCTCGGCATCCCCAAGTTCAGAAAGGGCATCTCCAGGGTTAAGCAGCAAGATCCCCAGTGGGAGGGAGGAGTTCTGCTGCAGGGTGGCCCAAGCCGGGACAGCTGGGTGAGTGGGGCTGGAAATGATGCCTGGGGGTAGGGGGATGAGAGCACAAGGAGGGATGAGGGGACGGGGGTGGGGATCAACAAAGACAAAGGGGTGTGGGGGTGGGGTGGGGATGCCCAGGGTGGCCTACGTTCCCAGCTGGGGACACCTGTCCATAGGGTGGCAGTGGATGCCTGTCCAGGTGGCACAGACGCACCCTTGCACCTGCCAGCCTTCACAGTGAATGACGTGCAATTTGATAGCCTGTCAATGAGCTCTTGTTTCCTGGGCTGTCACCCAGGCTGCTGGTGACACTGGCGCCATCTGCTCCCAGTCAGGGACACGGTGGTATCACGTGCTGCCTGTCAGGACCTGAGGGGGGCAGTTTTTCCCTCTTTCCACTTTGTGCTCTTAAAAGCACGCCAGTGTGGGGCTCATAGTGGGAGTTTTGACAAGAACGGGAGGCACCTTTCCAAATGCTGCACAGTGTTAAAAATGCACACAAAGCAGAAGTAGCTCAAAACAGGCAACTGGAGGTGCAGGAAACTCAGGCGAGCCCCGACCTCGGGAGCGCGAGGTGCTGCCTCTGCTGCACATTCTAGAGAACTTCACTTTCCTGGTGCTTCCCAAAATAGACACTGGCTCCCTCCAGCACCACCCATGCCTGGTGCCCCCATCTGCTTCCTGCCTCCTGCCCATGGGCCCTCCAAGGGAACCACTGGGCACCAGGTCCTCAGTACCCCTGGCTCTCACTAGCCCTGCACAGCCTGGGGAGCACAGGGACGAGCTCACATGCCATCCCCAGGCCCACTGCCAGGCTGGCCTGTCCATTCCCAGGAAGTCAGAGGAGGAGCTACCCAAGCCGGGGCCTGCTCAGCTGAGAGCACCTGCAGGCCTGGGAAGAAGACCAAAACAGCAGAGGGCGCCCCAGGGACAGGCAGCAAGGGGCAGGGCCTCAGTGACCCAGCAGCTTTTGACTCTGGGGGCAGCAGTTGGCAGGGCCTCCCTCATGTGCCCTTCTATGACCTCGTGGCACCTAGGAGGAGTGAGAAGGGCACAGACGAGGAGCCACAGAAAGCCCACTTGCCCAGAACACGCGACAGGTAGTCAGCAACCAGGTGGGGACCACAACCTGCTTCTGCCTCACTTGACCCACAGGTCTGGGAGCTCAGAACAATCCCAGAGCCAGCCCTGCCTCCAGCGTGAGCCGAGCCTGAGCCCAGCAGCTCTACCGACAGACCTGGCACTTGTACCCACTGCAGAGACGGCCAGGCTCTTGGTGGCCCCAGCATAAACCAGTCAGCTGAGGATACAGGTTCCAGGCCAAAGTATGTGGGAAGGAGTCTAAGGGTTGTGCCCTTTGGGTGGAAGGTGGGCCAGGGAGGGAGGGGATTAGCTAAAGCAACCCAGGGCAACCAGGAGCAGATGCTGACTATTCTTGTGGACCCAAAAGGGCAGCTGAGAGGGGAGAAGGAATCCCTCTCCCTCCAAGGAGGGCTACACTTTCTTGTTGAAGTCAAAGTTTCGCTGACACCAGGGGAGGAAATTTATTTCTTTAATTATAATTCACCTAAGTGGGCCAGTCAGCAGCAGCCCACAGCTGGGGACCATCCACCTTCCTCCTCACAGTGAAGTGGGGGCCATGCAGGGGTCCAAGCAGCTGGAGCTGCCCCGGTCGCCCGCTACTTCCCTGTCTACTACCTCCTTGGAAGGGTGTGGCTTTGTCAGGCCGCCTCTGCCCGTTTGCCCCACACCCCTTCCCAGGAGGGAAGGCCAAGCCCAGGACTGCCCCCAGTGGCTGCCAAGGCTGGTCTGCAGGACATGAACAATCACAGCCCTGCTTGGTGGAAGGCCATGACCCCCGACCCCACCACCTGCAGCCTGCAGGGAGGAGGCCCTGGGACCCGCCCTGCTCTCTCCTGATGCTCCCTCATACAGCTGGGCTCCACAGTGGCAGGCTCTGGGTGGCTGCCAGGACAGAAGAGTGCCAAGCCAGAGCAGAGGCCAGTGGGCAAGGGTGCCCGGGACAGACTGTCCACGGCCTGGTGATGTCAGGAGCTCTGTGGCCACCAGGGCTCTACCATGTGTGCAAGTGGGAAGGTGGATTCTGCGAGCTCAGCATTTGGCCCGGGGGTCCTGGGAGCAGGAGGCAGCTTCCCAGTGAGCAGTGACAGCCCAGCCCTCCCTCCCCAAGCTCCACCAGCCTCAGGGCAGCAGCCTAGCTTCAGTAAAGGACACCACTCCCCTGCTGGCCTTCAGATCTCTCCCAGCCATCTTCTGTGGCCATGAGGGGATGTGAGGAGTCAGGACAGTGGGTACAGCCCCACCCCACAGTCATACCCAGTGCAGCACATGTGGGCAGCAGGACCCAGCCACAGGATGGTGCTGGGGCCTGAGGTCAGGACCCTGAGGAGAGTCCAGAGGAACCACTGAGCCCTGGTGTGAATGTTCTGGTCCAGCAATGGCTACACAGCAGGGTCCGGGCACAGAGACTACAGCAGGGCCAGAAATGCTGCTGCCAGTAGGCAGTGGTCACTCCTTCAGCAGGCATGGCTCTGGGGTCAGAAGTGACCAGAGTGGGCACTCAGGGTGATGAGAGGACCTGTACCCCAACCCAAGGCAGCATCCCCTTGGTGGTCAGAAGACCTGGTCACTGAACACTGGAAGAGTGAGGCAGAGGTGAGACCATAGGCGCGGACAGAAGAGAACTGGCCCAGGGGCGGAGCAGAGCCAAGCCCTCTGGAGAATTTACCTGGCTCTTCCCAGCCCAAGTGCCACTGTCAGGAACCACCTCCCCAGTACATCCTGGCTAGAAAACTGGCAGCTTGGAAGCCCCTGGGCCCTGGAGACAGGACCTGGGAACACAGTCGGGTGGGAGCAGCCAGGGGGGCCAGCTTCTGGGAGGAAGGCTCCCTTATATCTGCCTTGCCCGCTGCAGATGATGCCTTGGGCACCCCACTACCTCCTGGGATGAGCCTCTTCTTCCCCCAGCCCTTCTGGTGGGTAGGTGGGGCTGTTGGGTCCCAAGGCTGGCCTATAATCCTTTTTTTGATGGACGAGGAGGTAAAACTGAAACCAAAACATTCCTCTAGCTAATTTATGCAATGATCATGTCCAGAGCACTTCCTTTCTCGTGCCCGTCTCCTGGGCAGGGAGGTTTGGACCTGTGGCAGTTGGCAAAGAGGCATGAGGCCCCAGGTGCTCGCCCGCCCAGGCGTGCTCCCTACACCTGGCTTATCTCCTGTCCATGAGCAAAGCTCACGGAAAACCAGAGGCTGCTCGGCCAAGCGAAGAGGCAGGCGCTGGCCTTCCCAGGGGATGGCAGGGCTGCAGGCCTCCCGGCGCCCTCCCTGCCATGCTGTCCCATTGGCCTACCGAGGCTGGCACATATACAAGAGGAGAGCTCGTCCAGCTGGGCTGTGCTCCCCTGGGGAGCACCGTGAGCTCCAGGCCTGAGGGAGGCGGCTGGAGCTGGTGGAGGCCTTCACAGACAAGCTGGCCTGCAGTACCCCATCACATGCTCCCCAGTGCCCAAGATGGCCCTGCTGCCCCCATCACCTGGCCGGCTGGAGGTCTTAGACAGCTTGTTGGCAGACACCTTGTACATCACTCCTCCAATGCAGCGGTAGCCTTTGCCCCACCGAGGGGACCCAGGTGGGGCTTTCCCGCCCCCGGTCACAGTAGGACGCAGGCGGTTCAGCACCAGGGACCTGCAGAGACAGCAAAATGCCCATCAGACGGGACCCAGGAAGGCTTGGAGCTTTGGTGGTTAATGCCAAGGTCAGGGAGGCCAGGCCAGCCTAGAGCACTTGCTGCTTGGGACAACCTGCAGTCAGGGCAGTCCTGGGCCAGGAGTCCAGCCACCAGGCCTCTGTCCCCTGCCCCTTTGCAGGGGTGCTTTTGTGGCCGCAGGGAATTCTGACAAGAAGTAACAGAAGGTGGTGTTGCCCAACCTGGCTGGGAACCTGGGGGTCCCCTCGGGGCGATGGGGAAGGCCCTTCCCTTGGACACAGTTAGCCTGGGCTGGCCCCCAAACTTCAGGGAGGACAGTTGCCAGGGTACCGACATCATCTTTTTTTTTTTTTTTTGTACCAGGGATTGAACCCAGGGGCACTCGACCACTGAGCCTCGTCCCCAGCCCTATGTTGTATTTTATTTAGAGACTGGGTCTCGCTGAGTTGCTTAGCACCTCGTTTTTGCTGAGGCTGGCTTTGAACTCGCGATACTCTTGCCTCAGTCTCCCAAGCCACTGGGATTACAGGAGTGCGCCACCTCGCCTGGCGGTACCTACATCTTGATGGGATGCAGGGAATGGCCTGGTCACTTGTCACCTGTAGAGGGCATCACTGAAGTCTCTGCCAAGGCTGGTGGCCCCCTTTCTCAGACCTGCCCCAGAGGTAGGAGTGCCACTTGTCCTTCCCTTCCTTGTCCCTCTCCCTGAGAGAGCCCTGCACCAGGGCCTGTGGGGCAGCTGGCAGACCCAACCAGGTCAGCCATCTGGGGAAAGAGTTCCCTGGAGGCCACGGGCTCAAGAGTCCCGGAGCAGCCACAGGATGAGCGGAGCGCAGGCCAGGAGGAGAGATGTGGGCTAGAAGGACCTCCAGTCCCAGTGGCCGCCCTACTCCCTTCCTAGCCCCATCCTGCCAGACGCCCCGCATTCCCCAAGGGAAACCAGAGCGCAGACCAAGATGGGGAAAGGCTGTGATGACACCACTCTGAGAGAAGGCTTCTGCAGCTGCCCAGCAGCCCAGCAGCCTCTGCCCAGCTGTGACAGGAGCAGGCTCTCCCCGAGGAGAGGACTCAGTGCCCAGCAGCCAGGTGAGCCCAGGGGCCTGGCACAGAGACCAGTTGACTCAGGAAGCATTTCAAAAGTGAGGTGTTTCCACAAATCAAGCCTAGATTCTATATGTGCTCAGGCTCTGCTTGGGACACAACACGACCATCGACTGGTTATGTGGCACCCCGTGGCAAGTCTGGGCCATGGGCACAGTTGTATTTTTTTTTTTTTTAACCACTGAGCTACATCCCCAGCCCCCGCTTTTTTGAGACATAGTCTACGTTGCTGAGGGCCTCGCTAAGTTGCTAAGGCTGGCCTCAAACTTTCTATCCGGGCACAGCTATCTATCAACAGAGTCCAAGGCAGCCTTCACATCAGCTCAGGGAGCAGTCAAGGGGACAGCTCAAGTGGGAGGGAAGGTCAGTCAACCCAGGAATGTGCAGGGCTATGCCCTTCCCACCGGCCCTCACTGTCCTGAGGGAAGCAAGCTATGAAAAATGCTCCCCGTGGGGAGTGCCTGGTTCTGCAGTTGTAGGAGACCCTTCCCCAGTCATCCAGGCCAAGGAGGAGTGATCTCAGACTGGGGCTGCTGAGGAACAGCAGGTGGGTCTCACTTGCTTGGCTGGACAGGTGAGTTGTAGATGGCCTGGTCACAGCACTCGCACACAGCTCACCCTGCCACCCATGGGAAGCCACTCAGAAATGTGGGTGCTGAGGGGTGCAGCAGCCCTGTTCTCAGACTACTGCTGTCCCCTGAGCTCAGCACCACTGTCTCTGTGGACCTTGGTCTCTCAATCTGCAAGCTGGGGTAACTCTCACTAGCTGGTGGCCTCTGTGGCCCCATTAGAGAGATAATGTGAGCGAAGTGAGCGAGCACTCTGGGGACCAAAGCTGCAGTGTAAGTACAAACAGGCAGGCAGGCCGCGGAAGGCACTTGACCCAGTTTCCCTTAATTAAAATTCAAGTTTACGAACACTGGTCTTAGAGGGAAAGAGTCCAGCCAAAGGGCACCCATCACATGTTCCTGTCGTTCCCCCAGGGTTCTGTCTGGGCAGGAGAGAAGCACCTGCTGGACCCCTGTGCCCTTCCAGGGCAGGGTAAAGTGGGCCAGACCCCAAGCTCCAGGTTCCCATCAGACTTCGGAACCCCATGGGCACCGGCCCTATACCCTGGGATTGCACTAGGGGCTGAGTCACGAGGAGTGGCGGCCATAACACGAGAGGTCTTCTCCCATACCAGAGCCCTGCTGGTACTGGAGGCTCAAAGCTGGGTGCCACATGAGTGATGTCTATCTTGATCCCAAATCCTGAGTCCAAAACTGAGCTCAGGGGTCTGGCAGGCCCCTAGGACTGCCCTGGCCCCCACTACCCAGAATCCCTAACTGTCTCACTGCCCAGAGTCCCTAGGTATACCATTTCCCCCCTCCCCACCAGGCCAGTCACATCTCTGCCTCTTGGGCCCTGACCTGGGATCCAGGCAGGTCCTGCCCTCACAACAACCCTTCCAATCACCCCCTTCTCCCAAGCATGGCTGTTTGTCCCTGGCCACCAGAAAACATGAGGGACAGGAGGCAGCCAGACCTGTGCCCAACCGCTATCCAAGGCCCAGCCCTGTGAGAATTCATCTGTAGAAATGTGTCCCAACTGAGGACCCCGCCAGGCCTCTCTCCAGAGGTGTCCTGGGGCAGGTACTGAACCTGTTCTCCACCTGGCCCTCCCTAAGGGCAGCTGCATAGGCAGAGCCCGGCACTAAGAGCAATGTGACGAAGCCACAGGGTCCCTGCCCCACCAGCAGGACAGGGAGGGGTTTCCCCAGTAACATGAGTCTCTGCCCATGAGGCCTACAGAGGGCCCACCTTGAGGAAGCCAGGAGCCAGCGAGGGGCCTGGGCCAGGTGGCGGTAGGTGGAGGATCAGCTTCGTAGAGGACAGCTTTCCACCCTCTGTCCAGAGCCAAGTTCTTAGTCATTCCATATGCTTATTCTTAAAGACAATCATGAGCAACCCATCTGTCCCCCTCTGTTCCCTCCTAAAATCCACTCCCTGGATTTTGAATGTAGCTACAGGACATCTGTGGACCCATGTGGGCAGACCAGAGGGGTGGCAATCCCCAGCCGAGGATCAACATGCCTGTGGACCCACGTATGGGAGCAGCAGTGGAGCTTAGGCCTCCAGGGGATGGGGACAGGGCTGCCCACTGCTCGGCTCTCCCAGAAGCCCAGGAGCCTTGCATGGAGCACTCGCACTTAGGAAGCTGATGTGGGCAGCCCCTGGGGAGGCCTGAGGTCAGGAAGGGCTGCATGGGCTCGCCCTCTGCCCCTTCCCACACCTCTCCATCAGCCCTACTGGCTTTTGAGTCTGCAAGGCAGGGTGCGGGGTGGGGCCTTGTAGCTTTTCACTGCCATGGGTGTCACAGCACTCCAGTAAATTGTCACCCTAATGGAGAGGACAGCCTTTAGAAACGAACTGTACAGAGAAGAGGGGATAGAATTAATGAGATAATAGCGGGGCCAAGGACCCTGCGAGCGCCTGCCCTCACGGCACCGCTCTGTAATTCCTTTTCTGCAACGGAGCCGCAGATCTAAAGGCTTCTCCCATCCGTCCGGCAGGCCCATGCCGCCAGGAAATTTCATTAACGCTGGAAAATAGGAAAGGTATTAAGCGTGGATAATGAAGGCCAGGGAGGGAACAGTGCCTTAAGATAGTCTTCTTCCTCGCCTTTGTAATGGGAGGCATGAACTTTCCCTTCAAATCCATTTCTAATCCATTTGAAATACTACAGCAAATTATCTTTCCTTCAGCCCGAAAGCGGCCAGCCAATTTACTCCGAATAGAAGTGACAATGCCCCAGGATTTATCACCATAACCTTGACTACACCGGGGTGAGGCTGGGCCTCCCCTCTCCCCCTGGGGGGGCACAAAGGACGGACAGGGTGGGGGGAGATAACATTTCAGATGAAAAGTGGTGGTGGGGGGAGAAAGACACACAGGCACACACGCCACAAAACTAGGTCTGCAGAAAGATTGCGTCCACTCCTCAGAAGCACTGGCAACTTCCAAGAAAGAGGCTGTTCAGGACAGAGGGGCAGCTGAGCCTGGCTCTTACTTCTGAGGGGTCTGGGCAGGACAGAGGGAGGCTGTCCTTGAGGCCATTAAGTTCTACTTAGCCCAGAAGTCATCTCAGTGCATCCCCGATGTATCTGCTGGGTCCCTGAGCGCAGGTCCCAGAGTGCCCACTTGCTGGGCTCTCACACGCTCCAACCCACACTTGGGTTTAAGGGCCAACACCGGACACCATGCTCTGCCCTCCCTGAGGGCGCCACTGGGGAGGGTCAGCATAGCCTCCAACACAAGATGCCAGGGCTCCCTGTGTGGCTGAGGCAGGGACTTACCTGAGACTCGCACCTCTTGGACACTGACATGCAAGCATGCTGGCCTGAGACCAGACTGGCGGCCTCTTGGGCAGGGCATGGGAGTGCCCACCAGACGAGCAAACAGCCTCCACACGCTGCAGCAGTATACGCCCATGCATGCACACGTGCACCCCAGGGGTGGCTCCCGCACAGTAGCAGCAGCAGCCTGAGGCTTGGTGGACACTCACTTGATGAACAGCGGCTCCTCCTGAAGGCTTCCACCTGCCCCCCTGCAAAAGTCAGCCCTCCAGGGAGTCTGGCCCCTCTGCATCTCAAGAGTCTACGCAACAGCCTCTAGGCCCCGTGCCTTCTCTGTGCATGCGATCCAGCCTCGGGACTGACGAGAGAAAGAACCCTCTCCTAGAGACCAGCCTACTAGGACGGGGTGGGGGGTCAGTGGCTGATTCAGGTACAGGTGGTAAAGGGGCCAAGAGGGCCTCTAGGAGACTGCAGGCAGGGCAACAAGGTGGACTCGGGAGGCACAGGCCACAGGCAGGCAACTTTCAAACTTGGATGCTGTGT